GGTCAGAACAGAGAAAAAGTGCAAAATTTGCAGAAATCACTTTTTCAACGCATTAAAATGGCTACACTTTTCATGGACCAGTGAATTAAATAGATGGATTATGTAATGAATGATACCATCACATTCAGTAGCATTCCCAGTCTGTCTGTCACCCTGGCTCATGTCTCTCCTTGTCACTTCCTTTCACTTTCATTCTCCCACTCTCTGAGGCCTGGTCTACACTAGGACTTTAATTCGGATTTAGCTGCCTTAATCCGAATTAACCCTTCACCCGTCCACACTACAGAGCCAGTTAATTCGAATTAAAGGGCCCTTTAAATCCATTTCTGTACTCCACCTCGACGAACGGAGTAGAGCCTAAATCGATTTTGTTAATTCGAATTAGGGTTAGTGTGGACGCACACCACCGAATTACTGTGTTTAAGTTAATGGGGTAGTGTGGACGCACACCACCGAATTAAGGTGCTTAGTGTGGCCGCGCACAATCGACTTTATACAACCTGTTTCCCAAATTCGAATTATCTAAATTCGGATTAATCCTGTAGTGTAGACATACCCTGAGCTCCTATCTGACAGTCTCTGACCCCTACAGTCAGCTACACTCCTCAAGGATCACACAGGCCAGTGACAAACAGGCTGCACAATTCTTGGAGCAATGTGGTTGGTTTCTCCATTTCAGTAGCACCTTGGTCTTTATAGTTTAACAATTCAGAGGCCCCATCAAGCCTTATGGGTCATACAAACTGATTGTATCGTAGAAGGTTTTCAGGAAGACAAGAGTTCTCCAGGATCATAGAGATTAGGGTGTCTGAGGCTAGAGAGGTTGATTTCAGGGTCCTTAGAGGGGATGTTTTCCCCAAGTGTCAGGGACACAGTCTGAGCTGTGATTGTTCACTCTGAACCCAAAGCCAGGGGTGGATTCTCTCCCCACTGAAGGAAGTCGGTGGGAAAGTGAAGATTGGGGCACCATTATCAGCATCCAGAAATGTCACCAGCCCCTGTTCATAGTCCAGACAAACCCGAATCCTCCTGGGGACCCAGCTCAGGGGCAGAGGGGTTTTAGGGGAGGTGAGAGCCTGGAACTCACCCCACCACTGCTCCACAGCCCAGATCCCCCACTCAGGGTTAAAGCAGATCAATCCCTTCCTCCTCACAGACTCTCTGGCAACCCCCACAGCCCAGATTATTTCACCTCCCACCTCCACCTCCCAGTAGTATCTCCCAGATGTGAATCCCTCACAGCCCAGCACGCACTCCAGGGTATCAAATCTCTTGGGATTGTTGGACAGTCTGTGCCATTTGTCTCCCCATCTGACACTTTTCTGACCCTCAGAGAGGAGGAGTTCAGGATGAGCCGTGTCTGGATCCAGCATCACATTCACTGGGGAGAGAGGGAAGCAGAGTATTAGAGCCAGAGATCATCCCTGAGGTGAGTGGCCTGTCTACTCATTCCTATGAATTTAATATAAATAATGTGTATGGATATCTATGAAAATCCCAGGGTCAGAGTTAAGGGTGTTTGGATGATAGTCAGTGAAAATGTTTCTGTTCATTGGTGTGGGCATGAACTCAGAGTTAAGGTTGCTGTTGGATTTTTTGTCTGACTTCAACTTGGGAGCATCTTAGTAATGTTTTTATTTTTAGACTGGTTGTGTCATGGTCAGCATTGGTTTGGTTGGTAACTTTAGCTACAAGTTCAAGAAAACATTTTCATGGGAATTTTCTCATAACTGAAAAATAATTTCCATCTTGAAATCTCACCCTGTCTGTGCGATCCTAGAGTATTCTCTTTTTTTCCCTCCAGTTCAATTGGCAGAATGTCTGCGGGGGAAAAGATAAAATCAGTGAGATTTTATGTTGTCATATTTATAACAATATCCCCACTCTTAACTCACATGACTGTGTTTTAATTGTGGCAGAGAAACAGACAGAGAGGGACAGAGACACACATAGGTCTTTAATACAAACGAGTCTGAAACCTTCCATTTTCTCTTTCATTCAGGCATCTCACAGCAATTGAATCAATATCCATTAAGTCTCTGAACCATCCTAGGAGGTACAATCTCTAAGAGATGTTTATTGTTCTCTCATCATCCCCCTCCAACCCTTGGTTGGTTTGTCTCATTCTCCTATTGCATTTTGTCATGACCTAGACCCAGATCCTGCAAAAACTTTAGCGTGACTATTATGCTCAGCATCTGTACAGAGCTCAGAACAATGTGGCCCTTGTTGTCCATTGACTGAAATACAAACAACAACAAAAATATTGCATAGATTTGGAAATTAAGGCTGGAAGAGGTTTGGCTCAATGGGCCAGACTCATGCCTGCACTGGCAAAGGGATAGAAGGGGACAGTTTTTGATCTCCCTAGTCAATGGTTACAGAGGCCAGTATAGGCCTGGCACATGATAGAGAAGTCCTGAGGTCCTGGCACAGTTACACCCTTGTGCCACTAGCCTCTTGTGATATTTCCCAGGTGTACCCAGGGCTGTGAGCACTTCACTGCCACATGCCTTACCAGGAGAAGCCATATCTGTACCTGCCTTGGGCCAGCTCCCAACTCCACTGGCCATAGGCAACACAAGCACTGCCCTCTGGGCTCCACAGGCCCTGCTGTCTCACGTCACATTAGTGATTGGCTCATTCCTACCCTCAAACCCTGCAAGCATCTCCCTGGAGCGTCCATCCCCTGGTTCACTGGACACTCATAGTGTTCACAGATTCGCTGCTTCTAAAGAAACAGTGCACACCAGTTTAGCAGTTACACTTCAGGTCACTGTGCTGCTTGACACATGGCACTTAGCTATTTTTATATTGAAAACAAGCACCATATACTTTTATTTAACAAACCATCAAGATTCAAGTCATAGCGAGTAGTATTGGAAACAAATGGTTACATTTAAAATAGGGCTGTCAAATGACTAAAAAGCATTAATCTGTTGATCTGGGGTAAGTGACTGATCTCTTGGGACTAGAAGCAACCTGAATATATTGTGATTTTTAGTGTAAAGCCTTGTCTACACTACATAGTTTTATCGGCAAAAGTCAGGTTTCATTGACAAAACAGTGGAGGTGTACACACTGCAATGTTCCTTCTGCCAACAAAACTCTCCTCCTTTGCCAACAAAATAAAACCACCTCGACGAGAGGCATAGAGCTTTTTGCAACAAAGTTATATCAACAAAGTGTTATTGTAGACACCAAGCTTGGTTATGTTGCTAGAAATGGCCTCCAGGAGGTTACCCAAAATGCCCATCCTGACTGATCTGGTCAGCAGCCCAGGACCCAGGTACACACCCTTTAAAGGCCAGGGAATTTTTGAAATTCCACTTCCTGTTTCCTCGGCATAGAGAGCTCACATCTCATCTTCCCAGCTGACCATGGTGGCTCCATACAGCAAACATTCTCCCAGTTGGAGTACACCGGAGTTGTTGGATCTGCTGATGCTGTGGGGAGAGGAGGCTGTGCAGTCCCAGCTGCACTCCAGCTGTAGGAACTTCGATACCTATGGGCAGATTTCTCATGGCTTACTGGAAAAGGGTTACGAACAGGACAGTCATCAGTGCTGAGTGAAGATAAAGGAGCTGAGGCAGGTGTACCAGAAGGCAAGGGAGGCAAACCGTTGCTCTGGTGCTACGCCGAAGATCTGCTGCTTCTATAAGGAGCTGGTTGCCATCCTTGGCAGTGACCCCATCTCCACCTCCAAGAGCCTCGTGGATACTTTAGTGGGGCTGCAGGCAGTGGACAGTAGACTCAACCCCAAGGACAAAGTTGTGGACGAGGAGTTTGAATTGGAAGACAATGTGGAGCACACGGCAGGGTCGTCCAGTGGCGCAGCGAGTCAGGACCTCTTTTCCACTCTGGAGGGGTCTAGCCAGTCCCAGCAGTCTGGCTCTGGCATGCATGATACAGGAGAGGAGAGCTCTGGTAAATGATCTTTTTGAGTTGATACTGCTCGGTTATATGAGGTAGAGCTGTCCTTTTCTCTGTGAATTCTAGAAGTGGGTGAAGGGATAGAAATGTACAAGACTAGCTGTTTTTGCGTGTGCTCCACTTTCCCCTGTGCAGCTAAGCAGTGCAGCAGAACTGTGTTAATGCACATCGAGATTTCATGGGAATCCTCCACAGAGATCTCTAGGAATTTTCCTGGAGGTACTCGCCAATCCTCTGCCGAAGGTTCCTTGGCAGAGCTGCTTTGTTCCTTCCCCCATTGTAGGAAACTTTCCCATGCCAATTGGCAATCACTTGTGCAGGGACCAAAGCAACACACAGGCGAGCAATGTAGGGACTCGGTCTGAAGCCCCTCCTCTGGTCAAACTCACCATGATTAGGGTGTTCACTGAGATGTGTGCTTGCCTGGGGATAGTGAGAAAGTGATTTGTATGTAAAAAGAGGTATTTTACTATAATGATTCAATGCTATGTGTGAACTAACAATCATGCTTCTGTTTATTGTTTGTTGTGCTTCTGCAGATGCAGCCTTCACGGGAACCCCCTACACACCAGCGGAGTGCCTCCCCCAGACAAGGACGCAACCAAGGTGGAGTGAGGAGGACATGTTCCAATTCTCAGAGGCTGAAAAAAGAGAACACAGGGACTGGAGAGAGACCCGGAAGGAAAAATGTAAAATAGAGAGGCAGGACAGAAAGGAGAACGAGGAGCACATTATAAAGGGCCAGGAGCGGATGATAAACGTGATGGAGGGGAAAACAGAGATGCTGAAGTCCCTAATCATGCTTCAGGCAGAACACATGAGTGCTCATCCCCCCCCTCCCTTGAAGCTGATACAGAACTGCTTTCCATGCCATCCCAAACTTCCCAGGCCATCTTGGTACCCCACTCGTTCCACCCCCTCGGACAGCTTCCAAAATGATAGCTGGATGTACATACAGCTATGAGAGCCTACACTGCCATGCGCTATTATCTCCCTTCCCACAAAGCCTTTTGTGTGTGTTGTTAATAGGTATTTAATAAAAACAAACTCTCTGAAAGATAACCAATCTTTATTTGTTTCCTAGACATGGTGTTTGCTGCTGGTAGTAATACGTAGTGGCAATTTGATCATTTGCTGAGTAAAAATCCGAATCAGGAATCATTGCTATTTTCATGCAAGGTGGCAAGTTAACAAAGCATGGCAGAGTGCTGTATAGATAGACATATTACTGGTGCTCATTGTCAAAATGTTGTCTCAAAGCCTCCTGGATTCGAATAGCCCCCCGTTGTGCCCCTCTAAGAGCCCTGGTATCTGGCTGCTCAAAATCAGTCACCAGGCGATCCGCCTCTGTGCTCCATCACTGGGGAAACTTTTCATCCTTAGCCTTGCAAATATTATGGAGCACGCAGCAGGCTGCTATGATCATGTGAATATTTTCCTCATTTAGGTCTAACCTGCTATAAAGGCAGGGCTAGTGCACTTTTAATTTGACAAATGCACATTCTACAGTCATTCTGCACCTGCTCAGCCTATTATTGAAGTGCTCCAGGTTTCCCATGTAAGACTTCATGAGCCATAGGATTAAGAGGAACGCTGGGTCTCCCAGGATCACTATGGGCATTTCAACATCCCCCCACTGACTGCAAATTTCTGTACAGGCCAGTGTTCCTGAAGATGCATGCGTCACACACCTTCCCGGACCACCCCACATTGATGTCAGTGAAACACCCATGGTGATCCACAAGCGTCTGCAACACCATAAAGAAGTGCAACACCCCTTTCTATTGATGTACTCTGTCACAAGATGGTCCAGTGCCAAAATTGGAATATGTGTGCCATCTATCACCCCACCGCAGTTAGGGAATCCCATTGCCGCAAAGCCATTCACTATTTCACTCGCATTGCCAAGAGTCACAGTCCTTTGAACCAGGATGTAATTAATGGCCCTGCACACTTGCGTTAACGCAGCCCCAGTGGTGGACTTCCCGACTCCAAACTGATTCACGACTGACCAGTAGCAGTCTGGAGTTGCCAGCTTCCACACAGCGATCGCCATGCGCTTCTCCACCAAAATGGCAACTCTCATTTTGGTGTCCTTGCACTGCAGTACTGGGGTGAGCTCCACACACAGTTCCAGGAAGGTGGCTTTCCACATCTGAAAGTTCTGCAGCCACTGCTCATCATCCCAGACCTGCATAATGATGCGACCCCACCACTCTGTGTTTGTTTCCCGAGCCCAGATGTGATGGTCCACTGTGCGCAGCTATTCCGTGAATGCAAAAGTAATCTGGTGTTGTTTCCTTCCATGGCACACAGCAGGTCAAGCAATTCTGATTCCTATTCAGATTGGGAGTTCATGATATACTGCATGACCATCCGCGATATGTCCATAAAAGTGACCACAACAATACACAGCAGGGCAGGATCCATCTTTTCCGACAGAGATGGCGGGCACACAGTAAACAGAGGCCATTAAAAAGTGCAGCAACACACAGCTGGAATCCCTTGGAATGATAGGAAGAAAAAAACTACAATCATAGGACGTTGATCCTGCCCCCATGATGCACTGTGATCCACTCCACCTTCCCACAACTTCTGGCTGCAGAAAGTGGCGAGTAGCACAGTGGGATAGCTATCCACAGTGCACTCCTTCCACTGTCAATGCTACAGCATCAAGTATGGACACGCTCCGCTGACAGAAGGAGCATTGTGTGAACATGCAGAAGCAATGTAATTATACCAGTTTTTGATTGTTGGCATAAATTGGTTGACAAAACTGTGTAGTGTAGACAAACCCTAAATGACCATTTATCCCTAAATCCAGCATACTCTCTACTCCATTATTCAAGTAATTAATGAAAATATTGATTAGTACCACATCCAGTTCTGATCTCTGTGGTACCCCACTAGATGCACCCTTACAGTTTGGCAGTGAATCACTGATAACTACTATTTGATTATGGATTTCAAACCAGGTTTGCATCCATTTTATAGTAATTTCATCTAGATCCCATTTCCCTAGTTTGCTTATGAGAACATAATGTAGGACTGTGTCAAAAAGCTGACTAAAAGCATGATACAACACATCTAAAGCTTTCCCCCAGCCCTGGACCAGTAACACTGTTGTAGCCCATAGAGCCAGCTTTAGCAATGTGGCATATGGGATCTGTGACACCACACACCAGTCAAGGCACTCATTATTGAACTAGTATTGTTCCATAGCAGAGTCCTTATACATCTCATTCACAGTCTCCTTGCCTGTGCCTGACCCAGATAAGGATGTGTACAGCCAATTGGCTGTTGTCCATCCCTTAAGTCATTTCATAAGAACATAAGAGAACATAAGAGCAGCCATACTGGGTCAGACCAAAGGTCCATCTAGCCCAGTATCCTGTCCTCTGACAGGGGCCAGTGCCAGGTGCCCCAGAGAGAATGAACAGAACAGGCAATCAAGTGATCCAACCCCTGTCGCCCATTCCCAGCTTATGGCAAATAGAGGTTTGGGACACCATCTCTGCCCATCCTGGCAACATCTCAAAGACAACATCTATAAGGAACACATCAACATTCCTCCTCTGGTGGGCGATCACACAGAAAGCCAAACCTGGAAAATCCCACAGATGGCCTGTTGCTCAGAAAAGGGCCATCACTGCATTTGTAGATGGGATATGTTTGAGGTGGATACTGTCCTGTGTGGACTGCAGGGAGAGGATCAGCTATAGAACCTATCACATCTTTGTGCCAGGTCATACTGACCAAATGGAAGACATGGATGGAGAGGGTGACCTATGATGAAAATGGCCAGTATTGTGTAGTAACCAGCCATCAAAAGTATCTATGTGATCAATTGGAGTGTCAGGTCACAGAGCCAAATTGCTGTTTTACCCCAAAACAACATACCTTAATAGGGCACATAGTGATTTCTCCTGTCCCTGCATTTGAAAGCACCACTATTATTATATCTGACCCAACCTATCAAGACCTAATTGTCCAAAGCACACCAACATTTCTTGTTTATATTCCTCCACTGAATTTACACTTGAAACATTTAGTGGATCAAAAAGACACACACCTCATACAAATTACCAATAATGTCAATGAGGCTGACCAATCTTTTACCCACTTGATTAATACAGGTGATGAAGTCCTAGCAGCACCATTACGAACAAAAATTGAGTTAAAAGGATGGGTTATCATTCAAGGCATTGCAATAGGATTATATTCATTGTATTCGGATGCATGCAGTGTAAAATCAGGAGATTAAGTACAAAGGGTCAAGTGACCCAACAACAACCTAGGGGGATGAAAGAGGATGAAACTAGCCAAAGTGTAAGCATGGGACCTACAACAGGGACATATCTGGTACCTGAGCATCCATATGCTGCATTTATAACTACACAGCCAGAATCAATCCCTCAGGTCCCTTAACCTCAGTAACAGGAGACTGAGACTGGCACCAGAACCTCCCCCTCAGGTAATCAACCATCTACATCATAATATATGTGATAGGGTTAATTTGCAATCACCCCATCAAAGGGGGGATTTATAGCCGATAGCCAGTTTCAGCATTTTATTTTTACTTTGCAGTAATGCAAGCAACCTACAGGCCTGTATCCTGTAAGATATTGGCTTAAGCAGTTAGCATATGGCATAAGTAAATTAGCCTGAGGCTTTGAGGCCTATAACCATACCACTAGATTCCCAAGGATGAGAGTATGTGAGTAAATGAGCATTTGTGTGAGGAATCATACAAGATTTCATCTTCTCTCTGTATTTTGCTGTCTTTGTATGTGGTATACATCTCTTTGTCTTTACTAATTGTGCTTATAGAAGTAGTTAAAGCTTTGCTTTGCCCTCACTGTGAGCATCTTCATTGTGCACAACGGGGTTTCCAACCAGACTTAATAACCTTAATTCTGTTGTGCCTGATTCTGGGACTAGAACCCTACTGCAATCCCCCAGCTCTTTAAATGAGAATTAATAGGAAATATAAGCAGTTACTACTAAAGAATTGGGCTACATTGTCAAAGAAGGAAATTAGGTTGGTTTGGCATAGTTTATTCTTGACAAATCCATGCTGACTATTCCTTATAACCCTATTATTCTCTAGATGTTTACAAATTAATTCCTAGTATATGTCTACCTTCCAATATGTATTAAATAGCTACATAATCTAATTATGAACCATTGGACTGAGACCATCTCTTCCCACATGCTCAGAGACTCATCCTGATTTCCTCTCCTTGATCTCATCTCAGTACCTTTGACCTTCCTCAGCGTCTCCATTAGAGCAATAGTTTTCTGGGCGAAATCACTCAGGCTCTTTTCCAGTTCAAGAGAAATCTCTGCCGGCTGCTGGAACTTCCCCTTCTCACACCTGGAGAAAAACAATCTCTTGTTATATTTAATTTAGTAACTCATTACAATTTTGGCTTGTAAAAGCTGCTGCTCTAATGGGCCTGGCATTAAAATTCCTCTACTTCTGCCAGCCACAGAGCAGGTGCAGGATAGGCCATGGCAGTGCAACCTTCTCCCCAAAACTCCTATGAATGTTGTCCAACTCTGGCCTGGAGACATCAGCTTTAGGGTTAAAAGGAGAGTTGAATCTCCATGGCCAATTTGCTCCTTGGCATCCAGCCTAGTAGTCGTAGTATTGTAGACATCTGTCAAGTGGAGACTAGATGGACTCACCAACTCCCCCCACCCTATCTCACGGCACACAACAGGTCTCCACAGGGGCTTTCAGGTAGGAAAGACCCTTGATCACTGCTGACCTGGGTAGGATTGTTGCCAGTGCCCTAGAGGTGAAAGGCCCAGATTCCACCCCATAATCCAGAGACAGCCAGTCCCCCAGGGAGGTGACATCTCTAGGAAATATTTTAGGTTAATAATCTTTTACATAGGGTGGACAATGCCAGATTCTTCTATACAATGGGGAGAACCTCAGGATTAAATTCATCAGAGAGATTTGTATCCAAAATGTGACCTGCCCCACACATTTTGCTGTGGAGCCCTGTGAAGATGAGGTTTTAACATGGTCTCCAAGCACTTTCCCAGCATTGTGAAGTGTGAAGGGAAGTGAGAAGGAGCTGCAGTACCTGCTCAAGGTGCTTCTGACATCCTAGAGGGGAGAGAACGAGAAAAAGAATCTTAGACCTATGTGGCAGATACTGGGGATCCCAGGAATAGGATTTTGTACACATGGGAAAAGGAGACCCTGCCCTGGCCTCAGAGCCATTCCATTAGCTGAGCTAATGGGGCTTTTCCATCTCTTACATCTGAATCTGTAACTCTTCAAAGAGCAATAAATACTGACATTTCTGCACTGCACGCACCGAGTTATACTGAGGTCTCTGATTGCTGGACTCTAGTACCCATGATTCAAGAGCTGTCCTGTCCCAGTATTGGGATCTGGGATATACATAACTCAGTCTCACCTGCAGGAATTCACTCCCTGGCTTCTGACACTTCCCCTCCATCTCACTAATCAGCTCACTGAGACGGGAAATCTCCTCAGAGCATTTGGTGGTACTTTCATTCTGTATCTTTACAACCTTCTTGTCCAGCTTTTCTAGCTGGGCCAGCAGGAGTCGCTCTTGTTCCTCCAGGAATTGCTGCAGTTGCTGAAATTCAGACACAATCTTATGCCTCTTGGTTTGTGTTTGTTTCTGTAAAAAAAAAAAAAAAAAAAAAACATAAAAACAAAAAAAATAAAAAAGGGAATAAAAAAAAAAAAAAAAAAAAAAAAGGCAGGGCAGGTACATGGAGAGTCTGGAGTCCTGCGTGTGCAGGAGAGAGACTTCCTTTGCAATCTCTAAGATTTCTGACATTTGACTATATCCTGTGGTTACTAGGCAGAGGATTTTCTAACACCTTCCCATTTGGCCCCAATCTCTCTTAAAGGGTCATTTCTCTGTCTGACAGGGTCAGTATATTGAGCTATCAGTGTTCTCTGAGTATCCAGATCCAGGGCAGCACGAGGCAGGACTCAGCACTGTAGCTGGGCAAAATTTTTCACACTAAAAATTTTTGAGGTCAAATGTAGATTTGGTGACACAAACATTCATGAATTATGCCAATTTCACCAAATGTTTTGATTTAAAAAACCTGAAAAAATCAGAACATTTCATTTCCACATTTTCAGAAGAACGTGAAATCTCCTTGTTTTTAATACAATTAAACAATTTTTGAAAATGCATATAATCAAAAAAAGCATTTGGATTTTGTTGAAATTAAACACTTAATTGACCCAAAATGACAACAAATCAGCCTTTGATTTACTGAAAATTTAGGAAAAAAATGTATTTGGTATCCCCCAAAGTAATACTTTTCCTTAAATGTCCAGTGAATGAAAAGATTTGTTGTTCAAACAACTGTATTGAGAACTACATTGACAGAGATGATGGGGAGAAAAAAAAGAGCCAAATAATTACCGTAAATAATTCAACAAAGAACTGCAGGCTTAGACAGACAGCACTGAATTGGGCACATTCAGTTCACCTTTGGAAGCTTTCCATCCAAGGCACAAAGGCTAGTAATTAATTCATTCATTGAAATAAAGTTTTGATTCTGAAGAGGAAGATGATGGCCTTCTCTAGGGAGAGTTTTCAGGTCCTCTGTCTAAATGTGTGTGCGCACAGGCACCCACAGTATCCTATGATCATGGAACAGCACACAAAAGCTCACATTGACCAGGACCATGGAGACCTCCCAGACCATGTCCCTGCAGATTAATAACAATGGGAACCTACCAGATATTCCTGGATTCTATTCTTTACAATCATATTCAGTCTCAGGAGCTTTTCTCTCTCTTTCCTCAGAGTCTTCAAATGGGTCTGAATTTTCTTCTGAAGAAACAAATGTTTTGGTTGGTTTGATTTTACAGGTGAGAGTGGGGTGATCTTTTCCCGCCAAACAAATATAAATGAATAAATAAACAATACAACACTCTACTGATGACTGGAGAACCTAGTAGGTTTGTGATATCAGAGATACCAAGAAATGAAACCTCCTTAATAGATCCTGGGAGTAGCTTATATTTGTACTTTGGGGAATTATTTGGCCCAGTTTCTCCACTGAATTAAACCAGCATGAAACTGGGGTCACATCCTTGGATTTTTCTTTCACCACGTGAAATAACCTATTTTTTGAGTTTTCACTAACAAAGTGATACGAATCCCAGAAGCTACCAGGGCCAGAAATATGGGCTGGATTCCCAAATCCCATTCAGCTTCAGTCCTGAACCCCCGGGGATGGCGCTGACTGGACAGAACTGGTCTAAGGGCAAGTGCAAACCCCCTTAGAGGTGCTGATTTGTGTTAAGAATGGTTGAGTTTTGCCTTAGTGCTGTCCTGAACCCTTTTAGTGGGAATGCCCTCTGGGTAGCTATCCCTTAGTTCCTACCATAGAGCCCAGAAATAGTAGATTGTAGGATATTTGAAAAGGCTGCATTGTGGGACTAATGGAACCACTTTAGCTGGTCCTTGCCCACATACACAATAGAACAGGTCAGATTGACACAGGTCAGCATTGCCAAGGGGTTAGTTTTGCTGCAATGCAGTCTAATCCCAATGGTATTTGGCATGGACCTGCGCTGTCTGAAGCCCTCAAGGTGCTCGGGGTCCACACAGTGTTTAGCTCAGTGACCTTGTCTAGTGCAGGCTGGCATCTGAGTTTAACCCCTCATGGAGAAACACAGGAATTCCGAATCCCAGTGAGAAACCCCATCTCCCTGCTAGGCCTGGGACCCTTACAAAGGAGCCTTTCCCACCTAATGGCCACACTTCATCACTACATAGTGCTGTTGGGGAGGCAGCATGGACTAGTGGTTAGTGCCCTGGCCTGAGGCTTGGGAGATGTAGGTTTTACTCCCAGCTCTGTCACAGAGCTGCCAGGTGAGTTTGGGTAAGTCATGTCCCCTGTCTCAGCCTCTGTTTCCCCTCCCACCCACTGTCTGTTTTGTCTAGTTAGATTGTAAACCGCTCAGAGCAGCGATTGTCCCTCGCTGTGTTTTGGGCTGGGTCCAGCACAATGGAGGTCAGATCTCATTTGAGGTCTGTAGGGACTACTGGGATGAAAATAATAATAAAAATAAATATTGTGATATAAATCAGTAATAACAACAGCTTGTAACATCCCCTTCTCCAGTCTGAAGGCAGCACTCGCACATAGACTGGCCTGCAGCTCTTGTGACTTAAACCTCACTGGTCGTTTAAGAGCTTCAGATGAGTTGAAAGGTCCCTTATCTCACCAGTTATCTTTAATGCCTTCATTTTTGCCTTTTTCCACATTCCCCTAAACATTTCCTTTTATACCGTTTTTCATACAGTGAATAATGCAGTTACATCAGTAGCTATAGAAGGGAGCAATCAAATAAAACCAGCAAGTTATGATGACATTAACCTGTAATGAAAATTCAGTTAGAATGATTTACATGAGGCAATGATTCCCTACCTTGTACTCCTGGGCAGCCTCCTCTATGGGAGCCACAGTGTGAGCTCTGTGAGCCTGTGATCTGTCACACAACACACAGATGGGGGTTTGATCCTCTTCACAGAACAGTTTGAGAGGCTCCTGGTGTTCCCCACACACACCATCCCCTCCCGCTCCTTTTGCTTTGTGTAAATTCAGCTGTTTGACTATTTCTAGGACATTTGCCAGCTGCCTGTTCAGCTTGAGATTTCTCTGTTGCACAGTTTCTCTGCACTGAGGGCAGGAGAAGTCTGTATCTGATCCCTGCCAGCACTGGGTGACACAGGCTCGGCAGAAATTGTCCCCACACTCCAGAGTGACAGGTTCTGTGAAATACTCCAGACAGATGGGACAAGTCACTTCTTCCTGGAGACTTTCCATGGGGTTCTCTGCAGCCATGGCTCCCTCCCGGCAGTGAAACTGGGTTAGTTTCACTTTCCTGAGTTCAGAGACTCACCCCGCCTGCAGCAGCAACTGGGCGTTTCTCTTCCTGTCACTGACTTTTGCTGTTTGCTGAGCTGGATGGAGCCAGTTGTTGACATTACAGCCAAGGAGGCCTTTGTGGAAAATATGCCAATAAGGCTCTGACTGTCCTCTTACTAAAACTCAGTGGTGGTGTTTTGATTGGCTAACTCCCAGTGCCAAAAGAAAGGGGAAGGGTCGATGGGAAAGCAGAACGCTGAGATTGACAGTCCCCAGGAACAATGGGGAGAGGCCAATGCTCCAGGTCAGCCTGATTGACAGGGCGGGCAGGCTAATCAGGGAGTCGGGGGGGGGGGGTCCGGTCCTCCGTGAATTGCCTGGGTCAGACAGAGAGGGGCCGAGCTAAGGAGAAAGCAGGGGCCTGAACTGAGCTGGGAGCTGAGCTGTGCTAGCCAGAGGGGCCAGAAAAGCAGCTCAGGAAGCAGGTCAATGCTGGGAGCAGAGTCACAGAAGCAGGCTGCAGAGCAGACCTGTGCTGGGAGGAGAGCTCCAGCAACCAGAGCCAGGGGAGCCAGAGAAGCAGCCCAGGGAGCTGGAGGCAGAGCAGCAGCAGTAGCAGCAGCAGTGCTGAGGCAGAGTGGAGCTGGAGCTGGAGCAGTCCGGAGCCAGGTGGAATGAGCAGCTGGCGAGAGCGAGGGGGACCCTTGCCAGTGGGCCCAGCACAGGGAGACGCCCCAGCCAACACGCCTTGCAGGCCAGACTTGGAGGGGGATCGTAACCCTGACGGGGCAGATGATACTGGGAAGAAGGGTCCTGCCACCTAGAGCCTGAGAGCATGTGGCCACCACTAGAGCAAGTGTCTGACCCGCAGCATCCCTGCAGCACAGCCAGGGCCTGAGAAGGGGCCTGGGACTTGTGAGGAACAGACTGAACTTTCCTGACATTCCAGAGATGCTGGTTGTGATGTCCACATGCCACAGAGTGGGGTGATGTGTTTTCCTTTATCCTTTCCCATTTTTTCCTTATTTTTTTAATTGATTGTTGTTTAATAAATTGTATTTGCTTTGAACTATATGTAATGATCAATGGGTCACGGAAGCATCCAGTGCAGAGAGAGCACCCCGGAGTGGGGACACCCTAGCCCCTGCCCTAAGTGACCACAAAAGGTTGGGGGTTGAGCCCCCCAGGAATCCTGGGCCCAGCCTTGTTGGGGTTACGAGGACTCTGCCACACGGGAAAGTGGAGGGAGAGCTCTCGAGGTCAGGCAGGCTTCTGGGTAAAGGAAATGGGAGCGAGGACTCCGATCCTTTTGCTAGCCCACTTCACCGGGGTAGTGTATAAGCCAGGAAAGTTCCCCACAATAGCGGGACCATTCCCCCGCTTACATCTGCAAGCCCCTGAGCTGATGGGTCACTGGGGCTTCACCCAGGTGTCAGTGCCCAGCTGGGATGCTGAACTTGCAGGACCAGGGTTTGTTTGTCTAAGGAGTGATACTAAAGTCACACAAGCTAAAAATTGGGTTAAGCTGGAAGGCCTGATTCTCATTTACACTAAGGCTTCTCTGGCAGTGTGCCTGGGCCTTAATGCTAGCAGTGTAATCAACTCTCATGCTTTCATCATGTGGTTCATGATATTTCATATGTTTCCTAAAGCCCCAGCTCCTGAAATCAAGTGATAAGGTGAGACTCCTGCCTTTCATTTTCTAAACAAAAATTTCTAGACCTTGTGGCTGCAGAGAAAAAATTGAAAATATGGCCGAAGTTCAGCCTAAAAGTCTGAGAAATGAGAAGGAAAATAAAAAGAACCCAACACTTATTATGAACTAGTATATGGTTTTTAATTATTTTGAGGTAATTTCATCGTTTTCGGGGGCCTGTCTCAGTGACTCCTGATTTTTAAATGATTGACAGTGGTGTGCCACTGAGAATTGAGGCCTTATATTTCTATCAGCTACCCATGGCAAGCCCCCTAAAGTAGTGCCATCATTTGTCTAAAACAGCACAGGCAATAGAAAGGGAAATAGAGAGGCCAAGCCATGGGAATGCACTTGGAGCTGGGCTGTGGCCCCAAGCAACAAATGAGCACAGCCCCCCTGAACTTGGGCTGAACTCAAAAGATAAAGGAGAATGTTCACTTTTATATTTAGGTCCTTAGAGCCTTAGCTGGAGAAGACAGGCTTGAAAACACAAACTGACCAATGCCAATGCAGGATTGCCAGCACCAAGGGCTCAGAACTCTTAAGACTGGCTGTAGGCATCAGAAGAATTATTTTCCTAAAATCATCACACATTGAACTTTTTGTTTGTTTGAATGTGAGGGATGAGTTTCACTCTGATCATGTGAGTTTGTCTGCTCATTTGTTTGTTGTGTGCTTGCTGCTTACCGTGTACCTGCGTGATTGAAGTTTATAAAAATATAAGAACATAAGAACGGCCAGATAGGGTCAGACCAAAGGTCCATCTGGCCCAGTATCCTGTCTTCCGACAGTGGCCAATGCCAAGTGCTTCAGAGGGAATGAACAGAAGAGGTAATCAAGTGATCCACCCCCGGTCGCCCATTCCCAGCCTCTGGCAAACAGAGGCTAGGGACACCATCCCTGCCCATAGTATAGTGTTGTCTGTTTGGGGGGCTGTGTGCTGAGCCTACTGACCTGCTAGGCCAGGCTGGGGCTTCTTAATGAGGCTCTAGCCTGCCATCCTTTGATCCCTAATTCCTTTAGCATTCCTTAACAAAAGGGAAGGGCTAACTCAGGGAGAACAGGGGTTTAAAAAGCCAGCTCTTAAGTGACCAGAGGAGCTAGTGAACAGGAGTTTAGTGAGGGAGTGTGAGAGCCGTTCTCTAAACTCATTCTCTACACTTAGGCCAATAAACAACTCCCATAAAACAAAACAAAAAAACAAAAAGCTACAGGAGTAAAAAGAATTCAGGCAGCCATCCAGCAGCAGAGAGGGGGCTGTCCAGTTGATTGAACTGAATGCAGCATGTATGATTACCCACGTTGTGGTGTATATGCACATTGGGTGCAAGCAGCTCATGGCCCTCAGAGACCGAGTACGGGCACTTCAGGCCAGAGTTTGGTTGCCAGTTTTAGTTGGACGTATTCCTGGAGGTTCCATCACATGATATCATCTTTAATTAAAGATTTATCTTTAATTCCTGGAGACTCCAGGACAACTTTGGAGGGTTGGCAGCCCTAGGCCAGAGTGGTTGAACTGGAGGAGCTAAGGGAGACAGAGAGGTGCACAGAAGAGACTTTCTGGGACAAAGTGGAGCAGTCCCACCCCTAGTCTGACAGCCTCTGTGCTGTTGTGGAGGAGGAAATTCATGGGGAAGTAGGACATCAAGCTGGAGCTGAGGGAAACAGATGATGTCAGGGTATCCTCTCGCACTGAAGATACTCCTCCAGGAAATGGAATCCCAGTTATTAGGAAGAGACGGGAAATAGTAATGGGGGATTCTATCATTAGAAATATAGATAGGTGGGTGTGTGATGACTGGAAGAGCCACAATGTAAACTGCCTGCCAGGTGAGAAGGTTGCTGATCTCTCAAGACCTCTAGACAGATGTATATGAGACGTTGGGGAGGAGCCTGTGGTTGTCGTACATGTCGATGCCACTGGCATAGGGAAAGGTAGGAGAAATATCCTGGAAGCCAAATCTAGGCTGCTAAGAAAGTCCAGAACCTCTATGGTAGTGTTGTAAGGTCTGAGGGGAGACCTTCTTTTGCAGTTAAAACAACAGCTATGAGCTAAGTTGCAGAGTCACATCCTCACATTCCATCTATTGCACCAAAACAATGTAATATCTAACTGTTAAGAAGGCACTCCTGTCCTAATAGTACTCACCATCACCAGATAAAGAAAGAGATCTTAAGATGTTTAAAGAAAACTTTGTTTGATAGCATTCTGTCTGGCAAGAAACCCCTTATCAATAGTTGTGACTGTGAAATCTGTTCTTCTTTTTGTTTTGCCTTTATGGCCCCTACTTCTCTATTGTTTATCAGTCTGGTCTCTGTCTGATTCTTTAATTGTTTCTGTCTGCTGTGTAATTGGTTTCACAACACTTGAATTAACTCTTGTGTGTAAAAGGTGGTAGGCTAGGGTTTGTGAAAAATACTGTTTTGTAGTACTTTATTTTAAAATGATTGGTTATGGTACAGCTAAGTAGGACCTAGATTTTACTATATAAACTGCAGTCCAAAAAGTTCTTTGGCAATCTAACTCCATTACACAGTCCAAGACCAAAGCCACCAGAACTTGATAACCTGAATGACCATTCCATGCAGAAGCCAATGACGGAGCTCCCAGGCGATTCAATCCTGAATGGACATCAGGAGAAGCTCATCTGCCTTATTGGGAGTGGTGAGAATTGTATGCTCAGCGTTTGTTTTCCTGTTAATCAATTGTTAATAAATAGAGTTTAAGTATATTACTGTGTAAGGTTCTTTCACTGGTAAGAGGTCCTGCAGACCCATAGAGCTCTGAGTCCACAGAGGGGTAAAGTTGGATCACATACTTCCTGAGTACCTAAAAGAGAGGGTAGGGGAGTGGAGCCCTAACTTGTGCAGTTAACTGCGTTCTCTGAAATGCTTCCAATTCCATGTGCAGGGCCAGTTACACAGGCAGAACGGCAGGGTCTCAGAGCATGGATGAGATAACATTGTAGGGAGGAGAGTTTACAGTTTATCAGGAACTGGGGAACATTTTGGGAATGGAGGAGTCTATACGGGAAGGAAATAGAACCAGATTGCTAGCATGTAAAATTAAAAGGTTCATAGAGGAATGTAACAGGATCCCCAGGGTGCAGCCTGGGACCGTGGGACCGCTGTGCCCCCTTAACTCTCTGCAGGTTGGGCTCTCTCTCACAATGCCTTGTTAGTGACGAGCAGCAAACCCCTCCGGGGGCTGTTATCACTCAGCATAATCGCATGTGGAGACCCAACACCCAGCTAGATTGCCTGAATGCTCCCAGAGCCACTCATGAATCACACAGAGAAAGTGTGATTCATTTCCCCCCGCTCCCAGCACAGTAGCTCAGGAATATACTGTCTTGCACTGCTCAAGATGATCAATGCAGATTTATTAATTGGTTCACCACTTCTTCAATGGAAAGTGGACATACACCAGCCTTTGCAAAACCTGAGCAGATTTGCAACACACTTCATACAGACTCACTG